ACTACTATAGTGATCATTGCACATAGCTCTTTGGGTACACCTATGGAATGATCTCTAGAAATGGCACTACTGGATCAATGGATATGCATTTCAAAATTTTTGACATTCATTGCCAAATTTTAACTCTAAAGGCCATGTGTGAATAGAACCCATTTTTCCATACCATCAACATTGATTATTGATTTTGGTACTTTTTCCCGGCTTAATACGTAAAACATTTTATTTTATTGTTTCAATTTGCACATCTCCAATTAACATTAAGATTGAGGGTCTTTTCATGTTAATTGCCCATGTGAATTGACTCTTCATACTCTTTCTGCATTTTTCAATTGAATTGCTTATTTTTTTCCTATTAATTTATAGAACTTATAGCTCTTTTTATGTATTGTTAAATCCTTGTTATTTTTATTAACCCGTTGAAGCTTTACTGATCCCACATATTATTTGTTTTTTATCATTCATGTGCCTTTCAGTATGGAAATTTTTTTAACTTTTTATAATTTTTTTTTTTTGCTTTTGTGTCATTCTTTCCTTGTGCCAAAGTTATAAAGATATTTCCTATATTTTCTTTTAGTGCTTTCATTGTTTTAATACTAGGTGAAGATATTTATTTATCCAGAAATTATTTTTGTATGCATATATGTACTACTGTGGTAGCTGGTCTCCAAGTTGGTCCTCAATTATCCCTGTGTCCTGGTAGTCACACTCTCATGCAGTTCCCTTGTATAGGGTTGGTCCGTGTGACTATTAGAATATGGCAGAAATGATACTATGTCACTTCCACTATTAGGTTAGTAAAAGATGGCTTCCTTCTTGGGCTCCTCCTCTCAAATCACTCAGTCTGGAGGCCAGCTATTGTTCCATGAGGACATTCAGGCAGCCTAACTGAAAGCTCTGGCTAAACATTAGCAGGGAATTGAGGTGTGCCAACAACCTTGTGAGTCAGCTTGGAAGCAGATCCTACAACCTTCAGATGACTGTAGCTCCAATCAACTGCTTGGCTGACACCTCACGAGATGCCCTGAGCCAGAACCACCCAGCTAAGCTGCTCCCAGATTCCTGACCCACAGAAATTGTGACATAATAAATGTTTATGTTTTAAAGCTGCTAAAATGTTGGGATAATTTGTTCCACAGCGATAGGTAATTAGTTTAACTACTTCTATAATTGGAACAGGCTTTATTAAACAACAACAACAGAGGACCTTGTCTTTCAGAGAAAGAGAGAGCTTTGGGCTTGAGGATTTGTTAAGTCCATGCTGTTTGAGCATTTCCCCCATACTCACTTAACCTGAAGTCACTATCTCAAGTTCTGTTTGGGAAAATTACTCTACTGGAAAATGTTAAGTAGTTCGTAATTGTTACAGTTATAGATTAGAAAATAGCATAGGTATTGGTCCCTGAACATGGGACTGTCTAGTTCCATCTTCGTCACTAACTCCGAGAACTTGGACGACTTTGTGCTTTTCTGGGTCTCAGTTTGGTTGCCTTAAAAATCATGGAGAAAACAAAGTCAAGAATGTTCTAACATAGTGACCTTCACACTTTTTATTCATGTTTACATAAAGTGAAGTGATACCTCTCTTACATATTAATATATAAAATTAAATATATTGCTTGAGCCCAGGAGTTTGAGCTTGCAGTGAGCTATGAAGATACCACTGCACTCTAGCCTAGGAAATAGAGCAAGACTCTGTCTCAAAAAAAACAAAGAAAAAGAAATTTAAATATAAAATGAGACATACAAAAGCCAACAAAAGTTTTATCTTAAGTTGAATGTAATTTTCAATATTTTCCCTTTAATTAATTTTTGTCAATGTATTAGAGTTGCAGATTTAACTTAATTTATGGAATGTGCCTGCTGTCTCCTGGCAGTCAGCAATTGTCAAGTTAGTTGACCAAATTCACTTTTCAATTAAAATTTTCATTTTTTTTTCAGTTCGAATAACCACATTAACATACATTCTATGATGTAACTGCCATTTAAATTCTTAATTCTAATTTTTGATAGATGCAAGGATAGATAGATAATAGGGACTTCCCATGATTCAGTGGTGTGGAAGAAATCAGGCCTCTCACTTCAGTTCCCAGCTTTTCTTCCAAGGGACTAGCCTATAAGAGCAACACATTCTAGAATCTTCCCTGTGTTCAGTACCATATGTTTTTCGTCCCTAGGGCAGTGTACCATATTGGGACGGATGAGTTATTACTTTCTTTTATAGAAGAGGAGAAGGGCAATTGTGAAAGGGAAGACTGGGAAGGAAAACCAGCACCACATATGAAAGAGGGACATTATCAAGTAGGTCAGTTTAGGAAAGAGTATGTATGTTCCCCCAGGGCTGTGCTGCTGTAAAGCTCTTTATTCTCTTTCAATCATTCTTGGCCACAGTTGTCCTGTCACTGTGTCCCGAATAATGAAAATAACATTTTTCACATATGGATTCTTCTTCAAAAAGATCTATTCAAATTAGTATTTTTCTGTCCCTTGTTGGGACAGACAACTTGACAGTGTTCTAACAACACGGCAAGAAACACATTCATCAAAAGTTTAGCATCTAAAAGATGGGAGGAATCCATCATGTTACAGATTTAGGTACATGGTAAAGTCACAGGAAAAATAAATGTATTTTTTCTTCTTGAAGACAGACAGGAAACTGGAAAACCATCTTTTGATACAGGATGATGACCCAACAATTATAAAGTTTTTCATATATTTACCTTAATGAGTTTATTGCTTACCAATGTCTCCTATTTTTGTTTCAACTCTGATTCAGATAAAATGTTCGCTTTCTTTGAGGTTACTATCAGCAATAGGGCAGTACCTTAAGTTTTTCAAGAATTTTTGTAATAAAACTGTAAGTTTTCCCAAAAGGTCAGATGTTTTACATTGTTACTATTGAGAACAGAATAATTTAAAGAATAAAATCACCTAGTTACAAATAAAAATAAACAAAGACTATTTATATTTATAAATCTTTCAGCCCTCCCCTATATAGGGAGGAAATAGTGCTGAGGAAAACATAAGAAATGTGGAACATATACTTACATGTCTAATTATTAATAATATAACCTCATGGTATAACGCTATGTGCATGTATTTTGGCATTCACTTCTACTTCACTATGAGGATAACTGAAATGTATTACTTATGATGATGAAAAGAACAGGGTATTTTTTATAGACATCAAAATATAACCATTCAACATTTTGGATGGGGGAAAAAATATAACACTGAAATGCCATCTGTGTAAGAAGTCATGCACAGTAAAGAAATAAAAGCTCGGAAGATATGAGCCCAGATTTTTAAAAAGCCATTTATTTTAAAAAACTGGTTTGTCAAATCACATACACGAGCAGATACACAACTACCAAAGTGGCCCTGTAATAGACACCAGTGGGGCGTTCACCACATAGTACCTGAAAAATACAGCTAAAAAAGAGGAGTCTGTTGAGCATTTAATTTCAGATTCCTACGTGACTCCTTGTTGAATGGCTTTAAGTTAGCATATCGTGAGTGAGAGGTAGAGTCCCAAGTATAATAGCTGATGCCTCAGGGCTCCATTTAAAAACAAAACAAAAACGAAAACCATTTCCCCCTCTGCAGGGGGAAAGCCTATCCTATTTTTTTTTCCTTTGTGAAAACAGAAGCCAAGTTTCTCTTCCCAAATAGTTCAGCATTCCCAATCAAGAAGTGTTGTGTCGTAACCTAGGTATTGTGCCTGTTGAGCCATTTAACTTTCTTCACCTTCCGATTCAGATTCTAGGAGAGAAGAAAGAAAGAAGTCAGGTACTTCCCCCCAGATTCCTTTACGCAAGGTCATGAGTTTCCACTCAACCCCTTCCCCCCTAAACACACAACCCCGCCATCACCCCAGGATGCTTTTATCGTGTGCACCCATTTATTATGGACAGTTATATGTGAGGGCAGACAGCGAACTCTTGCTCCTTTTTTCTTTCAAGTGAAATTTGCCTTTCTAAAAACACAACATGCTTGTATATATCATTGGACAATATAACTTTTTTTCTTCTTGGATCACCTAACTTTTTTTTTTTTTTGAGACAGAGTCTCACTACGTTGCCCGGGCTAGAGTGC